CTGTAGGTTCCGAATCCTTCTCCACACCTCACCGTCCAGAAAGTGAAGGTGGTGCGTGAACCTTGTCTGAGGCCGGCTCCTCACTTTCGGAACGTTCTTCTGGCTGGCCCACCCTGTTGCATTAGTTTCTGATGCTGCAAAATAAATGAGCACAAACTCAGAGGCTTGAGACAGCGCCCACTTACCACCCCTCTGTGTCCGTGAGTCGGGAGTGGGGAGTCTCTCCCACCGCGGTACCGGGGTTCCTCCCAAGCTCCCCTGCTTGTTGACGGGATTCGTCTCCTTGCATTGGTGAGGCTGAAGCCCCTGGTTTTGGGGTGGCTAGGCTGGGACCCCCGTCAGCTCTGGGAGCAGCCTGTGCTCCCTCCGCCGGGGCACCGCAGCTGCCCATAGCACACTGTCTGCTTTGTGCCCCACCAGCAAACGGGTGGCTCTGCCTTCCTGCCTTCCTGACCCCCCATTATGGCCTACAGGTGTCCCCCCAAATTCCTATGTTGAGATGCTGAGCCCCCAGGTGACCGCATTAGGGACAGGGCCCCTGGGGCTATAAGATAGTGAGAGTAGAGGCCCGGGAACCTCCTAAGAAGAGATGCAGAGCTGCCTCCTGTCTCTGCTGGGGCGGGGGGGCGGAACAGGCGTCTGGCCACCGGGAAGCAGGAAGCAGCCCACCACACAGCAGGCCTGTGGGCGCCGATCCTGCATCCTGCAGCCCCACAAGGGAGAAATGAACGTGTGTGGCGTGCACTGCGCTCACCTGGGACACTGCCCACCCCCTCCCGGGTTTGTTTCTGACCCAGGTGAAATGCACGTGCATGTGGCCCAAAGTCAGCCACGTTCAAGGGAACATGGGTGACACGTGGCGCGCCCACACGGCTGGGCACCGGCCCCCCTGGGTCCCGCTGCCCATTGCCCTCGCCCCGACCCCGTGAACCAGCCAGCCGTCCACAGACCCCACTTAGGCCGTCCCGCTCCGTACTCTCCCCCTTGGAAACACAGAGGCGGCCGGTTAGCTCCCAAAACACGAGAGTGACGCCCAGGGAACTCACAGGTCCCCCCCCCGCAAAGCCGGGCACAGCAGGGACTGGAGTCTGGGGCCACCTCAGAGGGCCGCCGGCTCACCCGAGCTCCAGCTTTCAGGGCTGTCCCCACGGGCCCCTGCCACCGAACTCCGCCACCAGGGTCTGCCTATGCAGCCTGAGTTTGCTCACCTGTGAAATGGGGTTCCTAACAGTTGCCTGGCAGATAGAGCAACACTGACAGCATCAGCCGGTGCAGGCCCCATGCTGAGAGCTCTCACGCGATCTGGGCGCAGGAAACGCAGCGGGCCTTATTGTCACCACCTCTGTCTGCTTTCCTTCCTTCCCTGCCTTTCCGACTCCCCAGGCTTCTGGGCTCTTTGGGGTACATGGCGAGGAGACGGTGGGCCTCCCTAGGCACAAGGGCATCCCCGGTTGGTTTCTTCTTGCCCTTCCGGGCCTGCCTGTGACTCTGCACCCCGGCCATGCTCCCTCCCGGCTCTGTGTCCCCCACTTTGCACCAGCAGGTCCAGCCAGCAGCAGAAGCACTTGCCGCCCATGCATTCCCTGTACAGGGGCTCCCCCCCAACCCAAGTCCAGACAGTGAGACCGGAAGTTAGACAGCGCCCAGATGCTTCTCCAGAACTAACCGGCGGGGCTGGCCGAGGAGTGGCCTGCTGTCACCACCGCTGCGTCTCCCGTCCCCTTGAGGGTCACGGGCTTCCCCTTGGGTGCTTGGTGGAAGTGAACGTCTCCAGATGCACTTTCCATCAGATACGCTGTCCTCCCTCTCGGAGGCCGGAAGGGAGGCAGCGGGGCCTGACCCGTGGGGGGCTGTGGGTCCCCAGCGCTCGGGGCTGGGAGCAGACAGGCAGCGGAACAAGACCAACAATTGTCCTCTACAGCCCGGCTGAGGCCCGCTTCCCTCTGAATCAGATATTGAGTATGAAACAGTCCTGGCAACAGTTTTGCATTAACCGTCTTGGTTGACTGACTGTTTTCATACGGCTCTTCCAGCAAAAAGCACATGCAATGTGGCTCAGATTAAGCAGTATAAAAAACTCTCTCAGCCTCAAAGCCAGGAGCTTGGCTCTGAGTGGGAGCAGAGCCCCCACCTCTTGTCCGAAGTCCCTGGCAGCTCAGGCCGCACCCATGCTGGGGGTCAAGTGAGAGGACTTTCATCATGTCCTTTTTTTCTTTTTTTTTAAGATTTCATTTATTTATTTGAGAGAGAGCAGGAAGGAGAAGAAGGGGAGGGGGAGGGAGAACAAAGAGACGGGGAGGGAGAAGCAGGCTCCACACAGAGCACGGAGCCCCATCTCAGGACCCTGAGATCACCACCTGAGCTGAAACCAGGAGTCCGACGCTCAACCTGTGCAGCCACCCAGATGCCCCGAGAGTCTCAGCACTTCTGAGGTGGGGCTGAACATCCCAGGGTCAACATGGTGGGATGCTGAACATCCCAGGGCTCAAAGACAAGGCCAATCGAGGCTAGGCAGCCTGCAGGTGCACAGGCATCTGGAGGGACTCAGCATGATGGCCTCAGGGTCTCCCTGGTGGCCGCTGTCGGTCGAGTCCCCCTCAAGCCAGGCCTTCAGGGCGTTCCCACAGGCTCTGGTGATGCAGCCCTGCCACCCTAGTCCAGAGGGCCGGCCCTACTTCAGAACCCAGCAGACTGGCTCCGGGAATCAATGTAGACCGTGCCCAGCGTGCCCACCCTCAGCCCCACCTGGGGTCTCGAGCAACCTCTTCTTGCCAGGCCAGCTTGTTCAGCGCAGACTGTGCCCCCAGATTATTGACCAGATTATTGCTCTGTCCTGGGAGCAGTCCAGGGTCTCCGAGGGGTGCAGAGTAGGATGAGGCAGGCAAGGCCAGCCCCTGCCAGCGTGGCCTTCCCGAACAAGAGGTCACAGAGGTGCTGCTGCCAGTGGGGCCTGTGCCATGAAGACATGCCCAGCCCAGGGCCCTGGCAGCTTGGGACCCAGAATGACCCCGAGCACCACCCAAGTCCCGGAGCTGGGAGCTGTGGTCCACAGGTTTGCAAGGGCTGGGGCTCCAGAGGAAACGGTTCCTGGCACAGAAGAACATGGCTAGTGTTCCAACTCGGTTTTCGTAGATTGTGTGTTGGTCTGTTTGGCTTACATTGATTACAGGCGAAACCACCAGCCACAGTTGTTTATACCTCCCCTGTGACCCAGAGCCCGCACTCGGACACACCCCTCACACGACACCATGCCCTGTCCTGAATCACCCAGCACGCCAGGTCCCGGACCAGGCCCCAAGGTCTACCAGGATGATTGAAGCAGCCGGCCCTGAGCCGTGTGCCCTGCTTTGCCTAGCCGGGGTCGGGGGCTGTGGGGGGGTGCTGCGGGGACTGCGGGGCCTGCGGGGACAGTGCGCCCCCCTGCCCCCTGCAGAGCCGCCCCCCTCATCCCTCACAGGGGGAAACCTCACTGTCTTGCCCCTGAGTCATCCCTCCCTGTAACTTCCCTCAGGTTCCATCCGCAGTGGGCCCTGCTTAATGAATCCTTCATGTCCTGGGAGAATTAATAACCCATCCCTATAACAATTTTCTATGGAAGTCATTTAAAAAAAAACTGAGGGGATCCCTGGGTGGCGCAGCGGTTTGGCGCCTGCCTTTGGCCCGGGGCGCGATCCTGGAGACCCGGGATCGAATCCCACGTCGGGCTCTCTGCATGGAGCCCGCTTCTCCCTCTGTCTGTGTCTCTGCCTCTCTGTCTCTCTCTCTCTGTGACTATCATGAATAAATAAATAAAATCTTTAAAAAAAAAATAAAAAAATAAAAAAAAATAAAAAAAAACTGAGATGAAATTCATCTTTAAGAAAATCACCATATTAGGGATCCCTGGGTGGCGCAGCGGTTTGGCGCCTGTCTTTGGCCCAGGGCGCGATCCTGGAGACCCGGGATCGAATCCCACGTCGGACTCCCGGTGTATGGAGTCTACTTCTCCTTCTGCCTGTGTCTCTGCCTCTCTCTCTCTCATTCTGTGTGACTATCATAAATAAATAAAAAAAAATTAAAAAAAAAATATTTAAGAAAATCACCATATTAAAGTGAACAATTCAGGGGCATGTAGTGCCTTCACGGTGTTGCGTGACCACCACCCCTACCTGGTTCCAAAAACATGTTTCTCTCCCCACTGGGGGAAGCCCCCCACCCATCCCTGGGCCCCTGGCGACCACCACTCAGCTCTTTGCATCCATGGAGTTGCCCGTTCCGGACACTTCACACAAATGCAATCATACAACATGTGATCCTTTGTGTCTGGCTTCTCTCACCGCATTTCCAAGATGCGTTCCCGCCGTGGTGTGCATCACAGCCTCAACCCTTTCCGTGGCTGAAGAACAGCCCACGGCACAGACAGACCACATTTCATGTGCCCGCTCCTCTGTGGATGGACACTGGGTTGCTTCCGCCCTCTGGCTCTTGTCAGGAGGCCACGGCCATTGCATAAGCTCTCATTTGTACACCGGTCTGTAAACCTTCCAGGTACATAGGTGAAGGGCCTGGTTTACACTCGTGGTCTCCCTAACCATCCCCCCGACACTGCCGGGGGCCCACACCTGGAGGGTCCCGCTGTCCCCTGCCTGGCGCGGCTGGGCAGGCCGTCCTCTCCCAGGGCTGCCCCTTCTCCCTCCTGCCACACCCCTCAGCTGTGGGTCCTGTTCATTTTGCAGTTTGGTGCTGAGCTTTTCCTGTTATTTGGAGAGTGGTCCCCCTCCTCGGGGAGTTCAAGTAAGACACAGGGTAGGAAACAGAGGAAGCGTGACGTGGAACCGGAGAGCCCCGGGGAGAAGCGTGAAGGACTGAAGGCCCAGGCGGTGGAGGCTTCCTGCGGGACGGGGCGCCCTGACCCTGGGCACACAAGGTCCCCGGCACTCCAAGGGCTGAGAGGGACACGATGGAGTCGCTGGGTCCTGAGGCCCTGTCCCTCCACCCCAGGCTCCCCCAAACCCCAACCCGCGCTCTCTTTGCCCCAAGGACAGAGTCTTCAGGAGTCAGCCCTTGCCAACTTACAAGAAGACTTCTAGACAGGGAGAGTCCCACAGAAATGAACCACAAGGTTCACGACGTCCTCAAGTTCCCAGCCCCTCCGACAGCTGCCATAGGCACGGAGGGCATCCAGAGTCCCAGAGGCCGCCAGGGCCACGCAGAGGGAAGCACTGAGGGTCTGCAGGCTTTGCCGGGCCCATCCTGGCAGCGATGCAGGGGGACCTGCTCAGACCAGCAGCTCCTTAATAGGAACGAGAAGCTCCCAGGAACGGGGCTGTCTAGAGTTTGGGAAGGGCCTCTGGATCTGGCTGAGGGCACAGGTCCCAGTAGTGTCCACCCTGGGATATGGAGACCAGCCATGGGGACCAGGAGGACCAGGCTTCTCCCCAAAGCACCCCTGCTCCTGGGGTGAAAGGGGTCACACGTGCTACCTCAGAATGGTACCTCTCCTTCCAGACTTTTCCCTCCGACACCTGGGACTGCCCTGCAGCCTGGAGAAGCCTGGAGGGAAGCAAGCAGGCCCTCCAGCCCTGGAGGCAGGGACTGCTTCACAAGAGGACAGAGTCAGCAGGTGGCTGCAGATGTGCTCCTGGCAGCACCTCCTCCAGGGGAGGGAGGGAGCCAGGCCCCCCTCAGGCTCTGTGGATGCAAGGACATGGGGGAGGACGGGGTGCTGTCTGGGTCCTCTCCTCATCTGGAAAGAAAATTCACGATAGGGAAATACTGCCAGACCAACAGGGAGGGCAGACCCAGGTCCCGAAGCTCCCCAGGGTCAGGGGACCCTCAGGCCAGGGCCTGCACAGGGTTCCCAGTGCCTGCCTGTGTAAGGCACGGGGTAAGAAGACTGTCCTCCCCCAGGCGCACCTGCCAGTCCTGGTGGGCCCCCACCTTGTACCAGCCATGACCCGAAGGCCCGGGGACCGGGGAAGACCCCCCACTCCCAGCTGCCCCATCCCAGTCGGGCTGGCTTTGGACGAGGGGAGGAGGAGTCCCCGGCCCTTTCTACTCCGCTGAGCAGAACAGGAGGAAGGTAACTGAATCAGCACTTCTCGTCCCATCTGGAACATTCCAACATGGAAAACCACTCAGCATCTGGGGAAACAATTTAGGGACTTTAATTAAAGGCCGATGACTCTCCCACGGAGACCCACCCCCACACACAGCTGGGAGGACCACCACATCTGCCCTCAGCGTGTTGGGGGCCCAGCTGGGCACCTGGCTCTGGGCGTTGGCGGTCAGGCAGTTTCCACTGGGAGGGGGGTGACCGGAAGGAGCCGGCTCACCCTCTCTGCTCACTGTTTCCAGTCTGCCTTCTGGGCACCAAAGCCAGACAAACAGGTGGCTCCCACAGCTCTACTTCCAAGAAGCTTCAGGAAGAGAAAAGTGGGTCATGTCAGTGAGCTCAGGAAAGGGACTCGAAGTGTAGGGAGGAAACGAGCCCAGTGTGCGAGCACAGCCGCCGCCTTCTCTGCCTGCTCCCTCTCGGTCTGCGCCTTCTGGGGGGAAAAGCAGGCCAGGCAGAGGGAACAGCATGGGCAAAGGCGACACGGGCCGTGGCAGGTGGAGGTGGCCGGGCACAAGCTCAGGGCTGAGAGGAGCGTGCAGGCCGGGGAGGCAGGGGCAGGCCTCAGGGCCAGCTGCTGCAGTCAGGCATGTGGTCCTCATTCTACAGGCAATGGGGGCGGGGTAGAAGACGGGAACGTTTTAAAATAATGGGATCTGGTGGACTCTGAAGACGCCCCCCTCTCTGGCTGCCATGCAAGCAAAGAGCTCCTTGCAGGAGAACAAAAGAGGTGTCCCCGAAGCCATCCAGGCGTGAGCTCGTGGGCGTCTGCATAAGGGTGTGTCCAGGAAGCAGAAACAAGCATGGACCAGGCTGCCATGCCATTACCAAGTGGGGCCCCAGCACCGGGGACAGGGACAGCACTGCCAAGCCCAGTGCCTGTCACCCAGGAGGGATTCCAGAACGAAGGGCACCCCTTGCTCATCATTGTTATTGCAGATTGGGCCAGCCCTCCCCTGCGCCCACACACAGGAACATCTCACCCACATCTGCCACCACATTTCTGCCAAGGTCTCTTGGAGCAGCCCCCAGCCCTGCCCCCGGCCTGACCCTGATGGCAGAGCCTAGGGACAGGGCCGGCCCCTTGGGACAGTCCAGACAGGAGTGTCCTCCTCTGGGCCCAGAACCAGCAGGAAGGGGTGCAGGGCTCCGGGCCGGGCTGTGGAGGACAGAGGCCCCCATCTCCCTCCCTGCTTCCTGTTGAGCCTCTTCTCATGCGTGGACATCAGCTGACAACTCGGATCGTCATGCGACAAAGACGGTAACCACCGTGACTGGTGGGGCCACTGGTGGGGCCACTGGTTCACAGTCAGCCGGGAAAGGGGGCTGCCACTCCCCTGGAAATCCTCCCTCGTTTCAGCCCTGGGGCCCAGGACAGGCAGCTGCTCCAAGTAGCCCAGGGGTGGAAAGGCCACATCAGGGCCAAGGATTTCATATGGATATAGGCCTGGGGTACAAAGGGTGCAGCCGGGTCCTGCGAGGGCCCAGCACAGCCAGGCCATGCCAGGCTTGGGCCTAAGGGTCCCTGGAGGCCATTGTGAGGGCAGTGTGGCCAGGAGCAGGTGATAATCATTACTGAAGGGGCCTCTGCATTCCCAGGGGGAGGGGGGTGGACAGGGCATCCTGGAACACCCAACTCTGGCTCAGGAGCAGAGCAGGCGGTGGACGTCCCTGGGCATGCCGGCCGGCCCATCCCCTGGGGGAGGGAGCCTGTCACTCGGCAGAACTGGGGCATCCAGGGCCCAGGGTGGTGACCCACTGACAGGGCAAGTCCTATAGCCTATATAGCCAGGCAGGGTCCGGAGGGTAGGAGCTGCGGGAGGGCGTGGCCCCGGAAAGTGGGCGAGGCCTAGAGGTGGGCGTGCTGGAGGCTAGGATCTTTTGCGGGAGAGGCCTATCGGGTGGGATCTATGCGTGGGCGTGGACTGTGGTGGGCGGGCCCTCGGTGGGCGGGGCCAGACCGCCCCGGAGCTGCTGGGAGGCTGGAGGGCTGCTTCCAGAATCATGGGATCTAAGCTGGGAGTCACTGGGCCGGCCCTAAGCCTCTCTGAGCCTCAGTTGCTCATCTGTTATGTGTGGCCAAGCTCACAGAACACCCCAAGGGGTGGATAAGGATTGGGTTTTGGACCACTCCTGGCATATGAACAGTGCCCTGTAGAGATAACTGGTGTGATGATCATTTCCCCGGGCGGTGGTACCTCCAACCCCCACCTTGCAACCTTCAAGGTTCTGCGGAGGAACACAGATGCAAACTTTACTTCTTAAATATTTTTCTCTACCCATTACCTGTACACGGACTGCTCCGGCCAGGTGACAGGCATAAATTAAGGTTACTGCGTGTCCCCAGGCAGCATGAGGACTGGCCTGTCCTCCTCAGTCCCAGCCGAAGTCCTGGCCAGTCATCTGGTAGAACTTGCGGTTAAAGGGCCGGTAGAAGTCCCGCAGGCGCTGGACCACAGCCTCGGGCACCCGCGGGTGGGGCCGGCCCTTGGATTTGCCCAGGCAGCGTGGGCGGCTGCTCCCCTGGGCCTTCTTGAGGCAGGGGAAGCCCTTGGTGGCGTTGAAGTAAAAGTGCTTGTCCGTGACCACCCTTTTGAGGCCCAGGAAGTCCTGGACGCGGCCGAGCTCTCCCGCCGGGTCGCTGACCAGGCGCTCCCCGCTGACGAACAGGAAGCGGGACAAGGGGAAGAAGCGCAGCCAGTTGTCCAGGTGCTGGGCGTACAGGCCGATGCGCACAGCGCTCCAGGCCGTGTCCACGGGGCCCAGGCCATGGCGGAAGGCCAGGGCACGGAAACTGGGCAGGCCCGGCGTCTTGGAGAGCGTCTGGGCATAGTCGGAGATGGCCCGGGTCACAGGGTTCCGCACCACCACGATCAGCTTCGTGTCCGGGGACATGCCGTGGATGCGGCCAGGAGCCTCCCGAGTCACGAAGTAGCTAGGGGTTTTCTCCATGGTGATCTGCCCATCCAGGGTGCGTGGCATCAGGCTCCTGGGGATGGAGGGGAGGAAGGTAGGTGACAGTGGGTACTGGCCCCCCAGTGACCCAGAACTAACCTCCCCTTCCTCCAGGGAAGTCCCAAACTTCCAAGGTGGGCCAGCCTTCCCCAGCAAACCCTGTCATCCTAGGTGCTTGGGTGGGCAGCCTGGGTGCCCACAGTGGGGGCCCATCCCGCCAGGCTGCCCACCCCTCTCCCAGAGCTAGGTTGTGCCCACACTCGACACTGCTGGGCCTCTTGCCCCAGACCCAGTTCTCAGGAGGCCAGCATCCTGGGGGCCACCCACACAGCCCCGCCCACCTTCCCCATCCCTCAGGCCCTCACGCCACACATCCCCTAATCAGGCCATTAATTACTGACAAGCGTCCCCAACAAAGGGCAGCTGCCCTCCCTCTTCCCTCCTCCCTTGCACAGACTCTCCTGCCTCTGATTACAGCCCTGCTAATTCTCACTGACCTGGACCAGATCAGAATGGATCAGAATGGATCAGAACGGATCAGAATGCGAATAGCCTCCAGCACAGCACACTGGAGAGCAGGGAGTTCAGTGGCCTGAGTCCCTGTCCCAAGACCCCAGCTGCCTGGGCGTCCCAGACCTGGCTTAGACCCCACAGTGCAAGGCTGCTTCAGCTGCAGCATTTTTGGCCAGGGGAGGGGAGTACTGACTCATCCCAAGGTTCTGGGGGAGTGGGCTGTTGACAGCCCCCTGATGGCCCCAAACCTGGGGCAGCCCATCCTGAACACCCGCCCAGAGTGGGGAGGGCAGCTACCTTGAGCAGTGTGTCCCACTGCCACACCTGCCAACCAGGTAGTACAGGGTGAGGCGGGCAGGGTGTGGCCTAGCCAGCTGAGCAAACAGCCCTACAGGATGGCCAGGAACTAGGTCAACAGAGGCAGAGGCTGTCGGGACCTGCGACCTGCGCTAGGGAGGGGAGGGCTCTGCAGGCTGGCCCTGCCTCCTGTCCTCTGAGGGAGCTGCCCCTACTCAGCTGATAGGCTCCAGGACTGGCCCCAGCCAGGCAGGTGACACAAATTGTGGAGTTCAGGTTTTATCCAGCCTCGGGGATCCCCAGACCCAAGCCCCTGGGAGGCAGGCTCTGAGTTTCCTCCTTCTACTCAGACCCCCAACAAAACTCAGGTCAGGAGGACACAGAGATGCACAGACCCATGAGTTAGGGTACTTAGCTTGGAGGGTGCTGGTGGTGGGACAAGAGAATGTGCACGTGTGAGTCCAGGGCATGCCACTGGCTCCTGACACCATCCCGGGGACTCTGGGGAGTCAGGTGGGCTGCACGGTCTGCTAGTTCCCCCTCCTTCAGAACAAGGCTCCAGGCAGAGCTGGTCCACAGAAGTGATGGCAACAGCTCTGCTTCTCCATCTCCATGAAAGCGCGAGCTGGTGCTCCGTCCCTGCCGCTCACTGCCCCCTCTGACAGGCGGGCTCAGGGACGAAGCATCAGCCCATAGTGCTGGGCTGCAGCTGCTGCCAGGTGGTCAGCTGGGGTTCTGCTCCCAGAGCCCCTGTGCCCCTCTGCCGGCCTCCTGCAGCTGGGAATCCAGCTGGAACAGTACCCAGACCTCTCCCTTCAAACGAATAAGTTCAAGGAGACCTTGGCTTGTGACAATACCAAGGGCTGAGACCCAAGGCTACAGGAAACCCCTTTCCACTGAACCTCAGTGCTGAGACCCACAAAGAGACAGTGTGCCAGGCCACATCTGAAGTCACTGTCCCTGGGGCATCTGGGTGGCCCTGTCAGTCAAGCATCCAACTCTTCGTTTTGGTTCAGGTCATGATCTTGGGGTCATGAGATCAAGCCCTGCATTGGTCTCTGTGCTCAGCAAGTCGGCTTGGGACTCTTCCTCCCTCTGGCTCTGCCTCTTCCCTCCTCAAATAAATAAATAAATAAATCCTGAAGAAGAAGAAGGAGGAGGAGGAGAAGTCACTGGCCCCTCCCTTCAACACTTCGGTTAGGGAAGACAACCACCCCAATTGCTCAGGGGAATCCCCCCATCCATCTTTGACGCACTCTTTTCATCCTTTCTACCCACCAGGCACCAAGTGGTCCAGAGGTGCACCGTCCTTCCCTTCCCAGACCGGGTAGGCTTCTGAATAGCCCCCAGCCCTTCACTCCTCCTGGGTGACATGGCCACAAGGAGGAGTTAAGGGGACACCAGCACCTGGTGCTGCTGTCTCCCCCAGGAAGTAGAGGAGCAGATGGAAGAGGTGCCCTGGATCCAAGGAGCAGAGGAGTGGGGAGGGGGCAGGGGCTGCTGACTTTCCAGGCCTACTCCTGCCACATACCAGCTTCCAGCTCTGAGATCTCTGGGATCAATTACTCTCCCCAGGCCCAGCCCGGGCTTGGAGCAGGGTGGGGATGGAGGCTTTGGGGGGCGAGAGAGACCAGGTAGGATAAGAGGAGCAACACACTGACCCCCACACGGCAAACATCTGACAAGCTGTCCTATGGAAACGCCCCGTCCCCAAGTTCATCTGGTCTGCATTTCCCTGCAGCTTCAGCCCAGCCCTGGCGACTCTCTCTCCTCTGTTTCGCTGGGTGGACACCTCTCCTGGGCCCCATCCAGCCCGGCCTGGGACCCCACACACCCCAGTCATGGCTCCCGTGTGGAGCCTGCGGTGCAGGGCGAGTGGGGGCGCTGAGTGCCCAGTCAGAGAAGCCTCTCCGAGTGAGCAGGGGGAGAGCAGTCCCACAGAGGCCTGCCCCCCCCCACATACTTCACTGCTCCTGCCTTGGCTGCTTGGGCCCCCAGACCCAGGGGTCCCCCCACCTGCCACCCTCCGCCTCTCCTTTCAAGCTCCAAAACACCTTGGCCCAAGCTTAGCCCCCACCTGCCCCCAGACAAGGCACTCGCTCCTGAACTGAGACTTTGGGGTGTTCCTGTGAGCGCAGCCACTGCTGTATAGAAGGTCAATTAGTGAGTGAATCAAGGAAAAAGCGCCGAGTGGGGGGCACTGAAGGGTCACAGTGTCTCCAAGACAAAGGACCCTGAGAGCCTGAGGGGTGAACTTCCCAGAGCCCAAGGTCAACTCTGAGCAGCCCAGGACCTACCTGCCCCGTCCACGGGAAGGACTAGAGTCACCACCTGAAATGAGATTGGTCTCAGCCCTGTGGGAAACAGGGGGTCCCCAAAATTCAACTGGGGGCAGTAGCCGCTCCTCCTCTACTCGCTGCCCCAACCCCCTCCCAGAACAGGGCTCTGCATTCACTGGAAGTCCTTCCCAGGTCCTGAGAGCAAACTGCCAGACCATGCCCAGGGGCTGGGCAACCTCTTCACGTTAGGAGAAACTGAGGCTGCAGTGGGCATTCTCAGAGGCTCACTGCACATTCAGAGGGGGTGGAAAGGACAGACAGGTCCAGAGGAACATGGCACCTGTGAGCACGCAAGCCCACCTCCACACATGTCAGTACATGGACACAGCCCCTCTGGGCACCCGGACACACACACCCCAAAGCTCAGCCAGCCTGGCTCCTGCTTGTTCTGCACTGGCCAGCGAAGGCTCAGTGCCAGTCAGCCCTGAGAGACAGCTCTGAATGGGTGCAGGCCACTGGGACCCGACCCTCTGCATCCTCTGCAGCCACCCCCACCCCCAGGCCCCCGGACATGGCTCTAAAAATGAGAAAGGAGAAAGTCTCTTCTCTACCAGAGTTAGACACGCTCCTGAATCTCCCCCTCCCACGACGGCCACTCTAGGATCCCAAGGATCCCTACCCAGAGCTGAAAATCTGGCCCAGCTGCCTCTCAGGAGCCCCCTCCTCCCCAGCACCTGAGCATGCACCCAGGGAGGGCCTAGACAGGGCTCCAAGCCCTCTAGACCCTCCTGGCCCCAGGCTCTTTGAGAACCCCCGGCACTAGCCGTGCTGCAGCCCCTCACGCATCCAGCTCAGCGCCTTGCCACAGATCCTGTTCTCAAAGCTCCTGGGGGCCAGTGGCAAGCTCTGAAGTTTGCTCTAGGTAACAGCGTGTCCTCCGCCCCCTACCCCTCCTCCTCTTCTTCCTTCCCTCCCTCCTCCTCTTCCTCTCCTTCTGCACAGCAGCGAGGGATTAGGGACGCCTTTGGATGCTGCAGCACTGTCAGAGTGGGGTAGCTGTCTCTCCCTGAGCATCCAGGATGCTGGGACTCAGCCAACTGGGTCCAAGGATGGACTCGCTTCCCCATCGCCACCTGACTTCCCTAGCACCCCCAACAGCAGCAAACCTTCAGAGCCCAGGATTCCTTCTCTCACTGGGGCCCCTCTAAACCCATGAGTTGTTTTAGTGCAAAGGGCAAAGATAACAAATAGGAGTGAGTGGGGGCCAGCTGAGGGGTAGGGTGAGGTGGGGTGGGGTGGCGGAACCTGGGAAGAGGAAACTGGTATACCACAGAGCCAAGAGTCTGAGTCTTGCCACCCTGCACTCCCCATTAATTCACTAGGTGACCTTGGGCTGGGTCCTCTCTGTCCCATAGCTTGGGGATGAGGTGAGAACTGCAGGCAGTGGGGTGACTCACTCTCCATCTGGAAGCCCTCATTTCCCCGCAGGAAGGGACAGGGCACCATGGCAGGCATGTGCACCATGGAAGGAGGCAGAGGGCAGGGCCCCACGCTGCCTCAGCCGGGACTGGATGCTCCCCCACATTCTCCCGTGGCACCCCAATACCATCCAGCTAGGCAGCAGGGCAGCTACAGAGCCCTTGACATGAGGTGGGGGTCCCAATTCCCACATCTTCCTCCTTTCTAAATAAAGCCCAGACTCCCTCCAGACCCTCAGAACCAGGAGAAGGATTCCTCTTCCCAGGACTGAGGGTCTGGGGACAGGTCAGACGCTGCCTAGGAGGCTACAGGGAAAATTCTTGGGGTAACTGGCCAGAGGTCAGACATGCTCTCCCAGAGTGATCCAGTGGGGAAGGGCAGATGAGCATGAAGAACTTCTAATGCTCCTCAAACCCCACTAGGTTCAAACTACTTATCCCGTTTGGAAACGCCTCCCCTCGGGTCTTCATGAGACCCCTCAGCAACGCTGAACCAGGGTTTTTCCTGGACTTTCCAAAGTTTCTGCCCCCCACCCCTACCCCCGCCAGTCATTGCTCCTTCTTTCCGTAAAATCCAATGCAAGGGACCGCGTCTCTGAGGTCAAGCCTCGGCCCTCCACCCAGGCTGGTCTCAGCTCGGATCCCTGGACACCTCGGCCCGCCGCGCCCCCAGTGAGACCCCTGGGGCACATCATGCTGTTGCTGGAAGGCACCCGCCAGGGCGCGCACCGACGCCGATGGGGCGGACAGGCCGGGCGCTCACCGGTACCAGGCGAGGCCGCGCTCGTAGCACCTGTCGAAGAAGTGGGGCTCAGAGCCGAGCGCGCGGACGTCGGGGTGCAGCCGCAAGAACTCCAACAGGGCGCGCGTGCCGCCCTTCTTCACGCCCACGATGAGCGCCTGCGGAAAGCGCTGGCGTCCCGGGCCGCTGGCCACCGGCAGGCCTGGCGCCCCCGGGCTGCGGACAGCGCGGAGCGGCTCGGCGGGCGCGGGGGCCGGCAGGGGGGCGCGGGCGGCCGGCGGGCCGCGGCCGGGGAGGGTGCAGAGGCAGTAGGCGCCCAGCGCCAGCGCGCCCAGCACCAGCGCCGCCCGCGGCCCCCGCAGCGCGGCCCCGTGCCAGGCCCCCGCGCCCTGGCCGCCCCCGGCCCCGCCGCCCAGGCCGCCGCTACCTGCCATGGGGCTGCGCCGCGCCCAAGCCCTGGAACCGGGGCTGCGGGAGGGAGCGCATCCCGGGCGAGCAGCGCGCAGCCAGCGGCGCCCGGCTTCTGCTTTGCGCCCTGGCACCGGCGGACTGGGAGCGGGCGGGGGCGGGGCCGAGAAGCCTCGCCCCCTCTGCGGCCACGCCCCCCGAGGCCACGCCCCCACGACCACAGCCCCGCCTGGGCCTCGCGGGCGCCCGGGGAGGCAGAGGCGCAATGGGAACCTCGGAGACCCCCCGGACGCGCCTTTTCGGAGACGCTGGGCTGCACCCCGCTCGGCTCCGGGGCCGTTGCCGTTACGGATGCCCGGCGACGGGTCAGGTGTCAGAGCTGTGACGGGACTGAGATGCCTGCCCCAGGACCCGCTCTCGGACCAGGGCGGAGCAGCAGGGGCGCGGGCGAAGCCAGGGGATCAAAGGGGCGCGTGGACCCGGGCCGACAGCGCACAGGGGTCCCCCGGCCTGGAGGGGAGTCTGAGGGGAGGACAGGGCGCGCTTTGCTGACAGTCGGCTTGCCGTTCATCAGGGTCACCGCCCTGGTGGCTGGAGAGGGCTGGCCAAGTATCATTACCATCTTAGAGTCCCTGGGAAACAGGCTCAGGGATGACAGGCGTCCCAAGGGCCCATTCAGACCTGTCTCCTGACCCTTTCTACCATGTCACACCGTCTGTCTGTGCAGCCTAGCCCACCAGGCGTTGTCCTGGAACGTCAGGGACCCATCTCTGATGCTGGCACCCGGGCTCCTGTCAGAGACAAGGAGATGGGGGAGGTGGAATGGAGGCCGGGAAAGAGGAAGCCAGGTCCAGCCCTAGGAGCTCCTGCTGAGGAGCAGTGACGTGCAGGGGCCACTCACAGTTGTGCAACCTGCTGGGCGCTGGACACTCTATGGGAGCTTGACACGGCCCCGGGGCCCACTGAACCCCCAGCCCAGCACCAGAAAAGCAGAGAAGGAAAGAGAAAGAGGGCTCGGTGTACCGGGCAGACAAGGAATCAGGCCAGTGTCCTTTTTCCCCTCTGCCCCAGACTTCCTCACCACCAGTTACTGCCCCAGGGGTATGGGCTCCCCGAGGAGGCCAGCCTCTCTGCAGCCGAGGCTCAGAGGACACTGCCCTGGGTTCTGCTTGTTCCTGAAACTAATGGCATCTGGACAAGTCCCAGAATCCTGGGGCACCCACAAACATTTCCAGGGCTCCCGCCCAGAGGAACCCTGAGCCGAGGGGGCTCTGCAGAGCCAGTGGGGTAAAGATCACTGATCTGGGCCCAGTCCAGATCCCAGACACCAGGCCTGCCCCTGCTTGTCAGGGCAAGACTGAGCCAGGAGGCCTGTAGGCGAGCTGTTGATACAGCACTGTCTGGGGTGCGTGCTGATACACACGGGTCACGGGAAGTTCTCCTTCTGGTCTAGCTTAAAAGGGAGTTTGTTCCAGACAGGCTGCTTCTCCTTAGAGCTATGCTGGGTGGGATCCCACTGCACCTGCAGCAGCCACCGCCGTCACAGCAGGCACGTCGCAGGGCTCCAAATTCCAGCAGTAAACCCCAGTGGCCCCTCTGTCTCCCTGCCCAGCACAGGCAGGGTGGTTCCCACCTCCCAGCCTTTGCTCATGCTGTTGCATCCTGCTGACAATGCCTCTTCCTCAGCCCCTCAGCCCTCCTGCCTCACACATACCTCCTTCAGGATTTTCCAGTAGGAATTTATCCAGAACAGCAGGACACGAATGTGCTGGGGGGCAGGGGAATGAGGCCAGGGACAAGGATGATTTACTAGCTCGTGCCCTCCTCCCTCCAGCCACTGTCCATACAACTGTCGAGTGAGGGGTGGGCGTAAATCTGGGGACATCCAGATGGCAGCCTTGGGACATTTGATCACCAGTGTATACCCAGCACCTAACAGAAACTGGCACCCCATAAGCACTGATAAAGGCCCCCTGATGGAAGGATGTGAATGGAGAGGTCAAGAAAGGCTTTCTGGAGGAGGTGATGGTCAGGCAAGCAGCCTGAGGACAGCAGCGCAGAGAGTATGGGGCAGAGGTGGAGGGCAGAGGCTCATTTCCGAGAGGGAGTACACCCCGAGAGCCCAGCCTGAGCCTCCTGCCCCTTCTTCATAAGCTGGAGACCTCAGTCCCGACACTGAGTGGGAGCTTCGCTGAGATGTCATGTCCACACCATGCCATCCAGCCATTTAGCACGTAGACTCCAGTGGTTTCCAGTATAGCGACAGTGCTTGGCAACCATCCTTGCGGGGGATTTTAGAACATAGCACCCCAAGAAGAAATCCCATCCCCATGGGCAGTCCCTCCGCATCCTCCCTGTCTCTAGAGATTGCCTTTTCTGGACGTTTCGTCTAAGTGGAACCATACAACACACGTTCTCTTCAACTGGCTTCCTTCCTTCAGCATCATGTCTTCGCGGATCAGGTATGTGGTGGCAGGTGTCAATGCTTCATCCATTTTTAGGGCTGAGTAACGAACGTTCCACTGGCCAAACAGACCACCTCCTGTTGATCCCTCTGTCTGCTGGGGACATGGCTTGTTTCTAGCTCCGTCATTGTGAACATCCGCGTGCAAGTTCTCGGGCGAGCAAGCGTCCCTATCAGGTGTGCCCGGGCACTGCTGGCTCGTGCCTAGATCCCTGGCCAGCGCTTTGTGAAGGGGCTTTTTGAAGGCCAAATCTGGGCAGTTGGGAACCTGCCTTTCCATGCTCCTCATGCACAGGGTGGCTGGTTCCCACGACGTTTGAAGGCTGCTCTGATCCGCCTCCGCCCTAGGTTGCCATCAGGGTGAGCCCCAGCCCTCCGCTGGCTGCTGCCGGGGTGATCTGCGGACGGCTGACCCCCCTCCCCCGAAAGTGACTGAAAGAAGCCAAGGCTGGTAGCTGTCCTGGCACCTTGGTGTGCCGGCAGGGAGCAGGGAAAATTGGGGGGAAGGAGGCGCCGAGCTTCAGCCTGCTGGACCCTGTCCCCGTCCCTGTCCCTGGGGAGACAATAGGGAGTGCCAGTGCAGGGGGACAGAGAGGGCACGTCTAGGGAGGGGGGTCCTGGCATGCAGGGTCATGGTGACAGGAAGGCCCAGCCTGGCCTCCCAGACCCAGGCTCTGTTGGAGTCCCCTCCACAGACTGTAATTATTGCTTCGTGGGTGATACTCCCCATCTGTCCCCTCCACCTACTCATGAGCTCCGCAAGGGCAGGGATGGCGTCTGTCTCCAGCCTCTCTGTGGCTCCACACCTCACAGTGGTAAGCACTCATGGGGGGTGGCTGGCTCTATGTGCACCCCCCACCCTCCTCTCCACCTCTGCGCCCGCAGCCTGCCCCCTCCCCAGGGTGGGCACCCCCCGCGCATCCCCCACCGGCTGCAGGGCGGGGCCGTAAGCAGCTGCCCGACTCTGGAAAGTGATTAATAACACCTTGCAGTCCCTCCCCCCACAGGGGACAACTGGGAGAGATTTCACACACCTGGGGCTTCCAGGAACCCCCTTCCCTGGGACTACACCCTGACCCCCCAGACCCACTCCTGCAGTCTGCCGTGGTTCTGGAGCCTGCAAGGAGGGCCCAGGGGAGGGGGCTGCGGCCCAGGGCGGGCCCAGCTGTCCTTGATTTGTGTGAGGTTTTTTTCACGTCAGAGGCTGGGTTTCCCTGAGCACATGGAGGGGGGATGCGGTTTCCTCCCAGAAAGGGACCCCCAAGAGCTATCGACCCACCTCCCCCAGCCAGCCCTGGAGCCCACTGTTCCTAGCGCACCTCGGGAGGGACGGAGCACGAGGGGCTGGGAGCACAGGGCTAGGGGTGGGGGCAGTGAGAACCTCTGGGGCTGGAGGCCCAGCCAAGTCCCAGCTCCACCACCTCCCAGCGCGTGACCTTGGCAGGTATCAAGTCTCTGAACCTTACTTTCCTACTTTATAAAGCAAAAGTGACACTGGCCCCCATCTGTCGGGTGCCTAGCTCCTAAGCTCTTCAGGATACAGAGGCAGTGAACATGTGACAGAGGCCCCAGCACAAGAAGGGGTGCCCTGAAGCTGCTCCCTCCCTGGCCAACCTCTCTACTCATAATTCATCTTCGTTGGAGAAAAGGCTGGACAGGAAAGGCTTTCCTAGGGCCTGGCTTGCTGGAACCCAGGGTCCTGGACCTGGTGCCCAGCTCCACCTGGGGACGATGTGGCACAGAAGGGCTTGCCAGGGCAGACACAATTCCCAGGGTCAGGAGGGACAAATGAAGAGGACTGGGGAGGAAGGAGGCCTCCCCAGACCAGCCCCAGTGAGGAATCACACGCCTGCAGGGAGCCAGACCCCGCTCCTGCACAGGGATGGCCACTAGCTGGCTTCCAGCCACCCCCATTTCTTTCCCTTAGGTCTCCCTGGAGCAATCGGCACAGTCAGAGGCCTGGGTGCCACTGGCCCCCTGCCTCCCCAGGAGTGCGCAGGGCTTCAGGTTCCCAGGACCCACCATGGGGCTCTGCAAAATGCTTCTCCCTAAGCAGCCTGGATCAGCTCAGTTTATAACCATCTAGCAGTCTTTCCAGGCTGGCCGTCCCAGGGCTGCGAGAGGGGAGCGCTGTCAATGGCCTTTCTCCTTGAAATGACTAAAGGGTCTCATAAAACAGGACCCTCTCTGCCGCCACCCCATCCCCACCTCCCTAACTTCAGAGCCCCAAGCCAGGCCTCAGCACACAGAAGCCCCTCTGCATCACAGGGAAGGCTGGGTGTCACCTAATGGCCCCACATCAGGGCCTGGGGGCTCTGTAACCAGGTCCATCCATCTATGCCTTGGCGAGGGTCCCCATGGACTAGACAGTGACTGTAAGCACATTCCATTAGGAGCAAGGAAGCTGCTCCAGGCTCAGGAACCCCATCCTCAGGCACCTGGGTGGCTCAGTGGTTGAGCATCTGCCTTCAGCTCAGGGTGTGATCCTGGGGTCCTGGGATCAAGTCCCTCATCGGGCTCCCCGCAGGGAGCCTGCTTCTCCCTCTGCCTGTGTCTCTGCCTCTCTCTGTGTCTCTCATCAATAAATAAATAAAATATTAAAAAAAAAAAAAGGAACCCCATGCTCTGCAGAGGGCACAGGACCATGGGGGGGTTG